CGTGAGATCCGCGTGTAATCCAGACGCGGCTCGAGTCTTTTTGGTTAAATCGGGCGCTAGACCGGTCCAGCTAGACGGAGCGCGCGACAAAGCGGCATGAATACCAACGCCAAATCCACCCGGCGCGTCATGACCTCCCCGCGCAGGGTCATCGCCGCCAGCGTAGGGAGTGGGGGGAAATGGTGATTTGGCCTGACCTCGTAGCACGGGTACACGTGGGCGTGACCTTGCTCAAATAGTGACTCAGCATGACAGCGCAACGAGCGTGAGCACAACTCGGAGGGAAAGTCCCACCAAGTTCAGCTCGGCAACTCGACAGGTAAACTACTCGCTGGAAGCCGCCTTACCTGCACCTCCTCCCCGGGGTTAAGGCACTTCGAGGCATCCCGAGTTCGGGGCGCCCTGACCTCTCTTAAGGCCCGAGCTCCTCCCAATGGACCTCGGGCCACCACTCCTAGGCAAGAACGCACCGATCCATCTCTGGACACCCCGAGGCATAGACACCTCGGGTCAGCTAGCTCGACATAACTGGCTACAGGCAGCCCGTCACTCAAAGGACAACCCGGCTTAGGGTAATTCGCGGGAGGGTAGTTCGGTATACCACAGGAGGGCTTCCTACTCGACCGCCATACCCGACAAATCTGTGGACAACAGACATGTCCCTCGTGAGATAGCGCCGCGTCTGCCACCTTTAGAAAGGTGTCCCGCACCTGACAGGCACGTACCCTGCAACGACGACCCCGCGCGTGCCACCTCAGCCTTGCCTGTAACGGCTGTGGCAGACTGGCAGTGGCGGTTATACCTGCCCTGTTAGAAGTCAGAGAGCTTGAAGCAACGGAATTCAGTTATAAGGGGCTTATTCTCAAGGAACAAGGTATCTTCGAATCACCTGCGCAACCTGCACTCTTAGCCTTCGTTTTCCTTTTACTTCTTGCACACAATACTGACTTAAGCATCGGAGCGTTCCCGCCGGGAAACCCCCCGGGAGTTCTTCCTCTTTCCTCTTGTCTTAGGTACCTCTCAGGAGCCACGCGAGTGCCAGTTAGGAGTGACCGAATCGCGCTACATCACCAATAAAGCATATGCTTTTTTTAATCAAAAGTCCACTTGAATGCAAATTTACTTTTTTTCTATTGATGTACTTTTACATCTTATTATCAATGTAAATATACATTGATCTGTCATTTGTCAATGCATAAATGTAATGTTATCATAGGTAAAAGTGAACCAGAGTGCAAATTTACTCTAAACTGGGATTTACACTCCATTTGCATCTTTTCCAAACACAACCTAAAGAAAATCCACAATCCAATGTAATCTCCGTTGGCTTCAATCTTCGCTTGGGTCTAAATCCACATCATCATCACGTTAGGTAATAGTTAAATAGGCGAAAACAGTATATTCTTGCATTGTTTCCCACTTTCCCTCATTTTAAATTTGTTACATTAGGCAAGTATGCCGTATGCAACATAAAACAAGCATTTAAGCGTGTCTCAAATTTTAATCATCGGGCTTCAAAATGTCATTCCCCAACTCAAGATAAAAATGAATTAAAATGGCTTAAAGCACGGTAGAAATTCTCTATTCCATTTTCTATGTAGATTTTTTTTTTCTTGAGAAAATTATTGATATGGGCATTTCTAAATTTTCCCTTACAAGAAGAGTTGATTACAAATTGTGCAAAAATTTCTCTAATAAGAACTTTTATTTTTTTTGATATTCGGTGCCATGCACCATTAATAACTTCCCCCTTAGACCCCTTTTTCCCTAAAGTCCTTGTTGCGGGATTTGATTCCGCATCAACACTGGAACAAACCAGTTATCATACCAATGAGCCAGCCCTCAATTGGTTTTTTGATAAGAACTTGCATGGTAGCACCTAGCCACCTATATCTTTGTATTCAACCTCTGAAATAACTTTTAGGCATTGTTCGTTTATTAAAAGCTCATTTACCTGAGTAAGTGCACTTACTCATATTCTTTTCTATTAAATTTTTCTAGTAAATGAGGCCTTTCAACATTCCCATTTTCTTTTGCCTCACCCATTTTTTCAGGAATGTGGTTAATTTTTCTCTGTTTTGTTATTTTTACCCTTAGACCCAAGTCCATGCCTTTTTGGATTATATTGTTTTAATAGATATTTTTTACATTATATTTTGAGCATTTACTCTCCACTCCAGGTAAGTGATACCTGGGGAAAACATATTTACCATGGGTTCCACCTAAATCCTGAAAAAGAATGCGGGAGAGTCAACTAATGGGAATCACATCCCATTGATCAACTTTTCCCCTATTAAAATCCGCAAAACGAACGAGGCCTTAGATATTTAATGGCTTTTTTCCATTGATTGCTACTATTGTTTTACACCAGATCAACTAGATTCTTCTCTCTATTTTTTCTTTTCTTTTATTGCTTAATTTTATCTATTTAATTAATCATTTATCAATTTACATTTCTAACATGGTTCTAGAAATTTATAATGAAGTATACACTTTATTTTAAATCTATATAAATAATATAAATAATGAAGTAGCATAAATAGGATTTGTGCTGGACTTATGACTTAGTAGGTTTAAGTTTGTAATGAGGAAAGTTGGTGCAAAGTTTCTACACCATGCACTGTCCTTAGTTGTGTCCTAAGAAATTGAAGATTTGCCTATTTTAATATTTTCTTACTTTTTTTTTTCTATTTTTTCTAGACAAACATAAGGCTGCAAATGGTATTTGATTGAATTCAAATTCAACTTTAATCCCATTAAGGGTAACTTGAATTCAATCCGTTTATTATTAGATCAAATACTCTGGCTGGTTGTAGCATAGACTTGGAATCAAATCTTATTTCCATCACGGTTGAAGGATTAGGAGTTATGGAGGATGAGCTAACCCCCCATGCCATGGTTGATAAAACCCAATTCAATTCAATTTAAGTATATACTCATATATACTAAAAATTTATATTACATCTATTTGTAAATATATTTTAAATTTCGTGATTTGATATATTGTCGTATAAGTTCAAGTTTTATACAAATAACTTTCAATTCATTTTGTTCATGAAATAGGATGTTGAAGTCATATTTAGTTCATTTTATTAATACCATACAATATGTTGGTTATTTTTAATCTAATTTACCTGTACTATTCAATGTCCGGTTACAATCTGAATTTGACTTGAATCCAATTCGAATTTGAATATAAATGAATAAAAATTTGTATAATTTGATTATTCCAGAAGAAGAAGGGTACCGTGATTCAAAACAGCAAGAAGAAAAAGCACTATAACCTGGATTAGGTGGTTTAAAATGGACATTGGAGGAAAGAACTCTCTTATTATATGGAGCCTTTTGAAATCATGATGAATTAAATTACCCATGCAAGTTTTTGAAACTTCTGACTGTATAAATTTTCCAGCTGAAAGGGATTAATATTGCAAATTCCAGTACATTAGAAGATGAAGCCGGTATGGTATTTTGTTAAATGAGCTTATTTCATTTCTATCCTTTTCTTTGGGGTCTTTTCTTTTCTTTTCTTTTTCTAAAGAATCTATTAGGTATGACTTATGAATTCAGGAAAAAAAAACTAAAAATTGAATTATTTTAGTTTCACTTGTCTTACTAAATTCCAGTTAACAAATAATTAGTGTTAAATCCCTTCCTCACCCAGATATGTATGAAGGCAAGGATGGCAAATACATAAAGAGGTTGAGTGTGCATTAGCAACAAATGCCTTTCAAAAATTTATGCTAAAATTTCCAATTCTAATTGATCATCAATTAGCATTCCATAAAAAAAAAAGCTCAATAAGTCAATAGTATATGCTGCTCAGCAAAAATGTTTAGCCAAAAGCAATTGAACTTGGGCTAAGCAATTCAAAACGCCCATTTGTACAATTCACTTAAGAACTCTCTTAGCATGAATTAAATGACTCCAAGCCATTTGGGTGCATAAATTGATCTCCTAAAAGAGATTAATTACACAAATGCTAATAAATTAAAATAATAGAGCCCATTTTGGGATTTCACTAAGGCTGTCTAAGGTTTGAAGGAAAAGGTAAGGAAAGGTTGGGAAATCTATACAAGTCCTTCAGGCCAAACACAGCTTAAATTTAATTCAATCTTTATTTATCGGGTTCGATTATGATATGGAAAAGTTATGATATCCAAAAAACAACTGACTAATAAACTGGAACCATAAACATGATAGCAAATAAGGTGTTATTTATCAAAATTCATGGGTGGATTTTGATTGGTCAAAACTCTTTCCTTACCATATCTTTCCCGTATCATAGATTTTCCTTTATTTTTTATGAAAACTTAGGCTCATTTGATTTGCGGGAATAGATGTCTGGAATCAGAATTGGAATAGCCAATTATTTGGTTGGGTGGAATTGGAATCCCATTCTTATTCCTAGTGGAATAGAATTTCCCCATTTAAGGGAATGACCACCCTTCCTTGGGGATGAAATCTCATTCCTGCTGATTCTAATTTTCATTACAATTCCTGTCTAAACAAAATAGATTATGAGAATAGACCATTCTGATTCCGATTCCAACTGCAAACCAAACAGACTCTTAGTGATTCTATGCTACATGAAGACTAACTTGCCCATTATATAATATATCATCAGCATTTTTGCTCGTAACCCAGAAATGGGCTTGGACAACAACGAAGAAGCTAAGCTTCCATTTACTTCAAGCGTTCAAGAGGGCCCACTAATAATAATCCTCCAGAAACAATCCCAATGGGGCCCAATGGGATGCTGGGCCTTTTGCGTTCAGCTAATACTAACTCGTTGGAACAAGGCTGTCGAACGTAGACGGCCCAAAAAGCCGATAACAGTTGTTGCGTGCTTGTAACTTGTATGTAACTATGTATCCTACCGTCGTCGAACCTAGCAGGAGTGGGTCCATCTAAAATGCGCCACGATGGTTCATCAAATAATCTTGCGCTACTTCAATGGGTTCGAATCCATTACACATCAGTTTTGATAAGCTACTTAGCAAAAAAAAAAAAAAAAAAGTAATTTTGACAAGGTCTTGAATTTCATAGGTAGAGGTGGAGGAGCGTCACAATCCACATTCTGTATCTAGTCTTCTCTCGTCAATCGAATTAATCAGGCAAGAAAAAAGTAGCAACTACAGTTGCAGCTTCCGAGACGGGGGAGAGATCAGACTCGATTAAATCACACTTTGTAATGGGCGAATTCGGTCAGTAGCAATGAAAGGCGTCTTTTCGGCGCCTGGAGATTACATCCACTTTAAGTCTCAAGTTCCCCTCCACAAGATTACTGTACCTCTCTCTCTCTCTCTCTGTATATGCGAGAATTTTCTGTGATTCGGTTCTGTTTTTTTTTCTGTAATTATGATCATGGGTTTCTTCCTTAGCCTCATGTGCAATTGGGTATCTCATCATATTCATTTTGAATATCTTTCTGTATGTTAGCATTGTTTTTGTCGAAAATAGTCTTGTTCTGCCCTTGATTATATAACTGTCTGATCATCTAATGAATTGGATTTCAAATATTTACCAGCAAAGTTCAACGAATTTTGAGGCGAATATGCTTGAATACACGCTTCTAGGCCATATTTTGTAACTTCGAGTCCTGTCCTGCAACTGTTTTAACCTTAGTTTCTCTTTGTAAATTGTAAGACATAAGCTAATGAGCCTAATATCTATTTGTCAAAATATTGTTTTCTCCCTGTTTTGGTGCATTCGCTAATTTTCTGAATGGCGAAGTTAACCAAAATTTGAAATGTGTATGCTTTGAAAATCACTTTGCATATTACAATGTCAATGCTTTCGAAGATTATATTCTTTTAATTATTCTTCACCATATCCATCAATTCAGTTATTCGATTTTGCTTTTTACGGCTTTTTTATATCTGATATCGTTGACTGTGAATAGTGTGATTTCCTTGAGGGCGAAAAACTCATCCTAGTTGTTATTGAATCTAAAAAGAACTCACAAGTTAGTAATGTTATGGATGCCTAATAGTTTCTTTTGCTTCTTGTAGATTGGGTCAAAGCAGTGGCGGTATTATGACTTTGGTCCGAAGGTTGTCCCTCCACTTATCTGTATCCCTGGGACGGCAGGAACAGCTGATGTTTATTACAAACAGATCATGTCACTCTCCATGAAGGTAATACATTTGCCCATTCTTATTGTTGCTGCATAAATAAATTGCACCCTATAATGAGCTTTGCCAATTAATTTAGAATTTTTTCGGTGGAAAATGTTACTCTCAATGCTGAAAATTGACGTAAAGAGTAACCACTTAGACCATATAGTAGATAAATCTAGGTAAAAATATTTAACAAACAGTAATGTTATATCCATAGGCAGATAAAAAAAATGCCATAATTTATCAAAAAAAATGCCGTTGTGATCTAATTGCTCTTGCAAGTGAGCTCCTTCCTTTCGAGATCAGGCTAATCAGCGCTTCCAAGTTCCAACACTTTAAACAGGCTTCTTTATGAGCCATACAAATCTTCTTCCTGATACTTACAGAATTTTATTCAGGAAATTGTTTAGGAAAAATACCCAGTGAGCATACTATTTCAGAAAATATTGAGCAAACCCATGGTACTTACTACTTAAGAGTTTACATCTCATTGTTCTGATTCACTTCCTTGTGGATAGAAGAAATTGTCATAAGCTGGATGCAATCTAGAATAAGGGTCAGTCATCATATACATGAACCATGGGTGATGATTCTTTTGTTGCCATCTAGAATATCAAAATCAACTTGGATACATGATTTATTCTTATTTTAGTTCAGCTAGAACTAGAAGTGAATCATTGAAAATGTAGGTAAATAATCATTAACTCCCATCAAGTTCAATGGACCTGTCAGTGGAGAGGTTGGTTACAAACTGAATTATTATATCTTTTCCTCCTTGTGTGCATTTGATCTGCCTTGTCCTAGTATATACTTGGTGCATTGCGTGCCTAGAATTTAGAAAGTTGTCCAATGTGCCCCCGCAACCCCACATTTATAGTTTATACACATGCTCAAAGACCACTATTAATGGAACAATGTTGCATCATTGCCAAACTAGAATCATCTGGATGTAGGTAACTGGTGCATATTTATTATCAATTTAGCACAACAAAGAACAAAAATTCCTATTCCATATGATGACTCTTGCTAACGAAAACTAGAGGTGACAAAATTCTTTTAGAGAATGATCTTGGATTTACTTAACATTATCTACAAATGGTTATTGGCTTGGCTATGAGTTTTATTTATTTTTTATTTATTTTTTTTGCAGATTCCTATTTTACTGTTTTGTCTTGTTGTATTTATATCATTGGTAATCAACTGAAAAAATGTGATTGTAAATTTTGTTTCAGGGATACAGAGTAATTTCTGTTGATATACCACGTGTATGGAGTCATCATGAGTGGATTCAAGCATTTGAAAAGTTCTTGGACGCTGTTGATGTTCATCATGTAAGAATATAATTTGCTTGTTCATTTCTATTTTTGTTTGTTATTTTCTAGTTTTTTTCTAGGCATGTTATCCATTTCAAAATTTACACACCATTCTACAAATCTGACTTTTGTGCTCATTCATAAGTCAAATTGCTTTCATTTGGTTTCTTATGCCTCTACTTGTGTGAATGTCACATTCATGCACTTCATGTGGTTAACAAATTTTACAATGTTAAGAATGTCTTAAATGAGCAAGCCATCAAGACAGCATATCCTTCATAATTACAACATAGGAGCCCTTGGCATCATTCTCAATAGTGGTAGAGTAGAAATACATGCTAGCTTTACATTTATCATACTCCTAGTTGTCATAAGGATAAAATATGGGGGATGGTGGAGCCACATTGTGATGTTATTGTATAAAGAAAGAAGGCTAGTAGAACTGAAACAAGTACAGTGATTGATTGCATGCTAGTTTTACTTTGATTATACACCTAGTTGTCTTAACGATAAATAGGGGGGGGGGGTGGACTCCACATTGTGATCATGTTATGTGATTATGAAAAGAAAGAAGGCTAATCATAGTTGTCAAGGTGACGCCTAGGCGACAAGGCACCCTTTGAGGCTCGCCTCGCCCAATCGCCTAACACTTTTCTACTTCCTACTATAAAATACTTTTTCATTCATAATTTTTTGAGATTATAATTATAAAATAGACATTATTAAACTAAAATAATCATTTTGTGTGTTTATCCAGTAAGTAAGGAAGAACCAAAAATTTTATCTAATCAGCACATTTTCCTCTTCCATATATTCTTCTTCTACTACTTCTTCTTCTTCTTCCTCTTCCAATACTTTTTATTTTTTTCTTTTCCTATAACAAAAATAAGGGTTCAGCCCCTATATTTTTTGAATTTTATTTCCATTCTTCTTTTTCTTCTCATGAATATGTTGATTTTCTATACTTTAATATGAAATTTATACTTTTCTTATGAAAACCATGAATAATTATTAAAGAAATATGGTTATGGTACCTAGGGAACTACCCTAGGATCTATTTTTTAACATAAAAAAAAAATTCATCGCCTAGGCGATGCCTAGGCGCCCCCCTAGGCAACTACGTGACTAGGCGCCCCCCAGTCGCCTAGCCTCGCCTGGGCGCCTTGAAAACTATGAGGCTAATATAATTGAAAACAAGTAATATGAATTAAAATACCCACAGCAGAGTGACTTTTATCTTTACAATATAAATAGTAGGTTCAGCCATATTTCTGTTTAAGAATGAGAAGACTGTAGTGGATTGCACACTCTAAACTAAATCATCTAATGCATGTTTCAGTTATTCAAGGTTCAGATAAAAATGGGAAAAACTGAAGTCTAGAGTGTGCAAGAAATCCAGTGGGTTTCCATGGGGGGAGAGACCTTTGTATGTCCAGTCTCCTAGACTCTATTCTATCTCAAGGCACAAATTCAAACATATAGCTGATATTATGTCCCTAGTCCTCCTCAGGTATCACCTAAGATTCTGATTTTAGGAAAGGTCTTAGAGACTGAGAGTGATGAGGTTTTCGTTTTCCTTGATACACTAAAGGATGTGTTCCTTGTCTGTGATGGTTTAGACAATAGGGTAGTCTCTCAAGTCATCTAGTTTCTACAGTTGTGCCTCTCTTTTCTGAAGACCTTGATGAATTTCCATTGTTGACTATACCTATTCCGGTCAAAGCTATTTGGGTGGTCCCACTCAGCCTAAAAAGTAAGGATAAAACTTTTTGTTGGGAAATCTTCATTAACACCTCTTAAATGCACAACAAAAACAGACTAATTGATGCTCATGGGTATATCTTATGCCTTAAGAATGGTGAGACATCTATCACCCTTTTCTCTCTTGCCCCTTCTCCATTAATGTATTGAATCATTTATTTCTTCCTTTTGGTTCATCTTGGTCTCTACCAGAAGATTTATTGATGGATCTCTTCTATGGTCAACTGATTACATTAGACATAAAAAGAAGCAAATGGCAATGTACCAGGACAGCTTTGTTTTTTTGAGAATTTGGAGTGAGTGAAAGCAAGAATATTTGAAAATAAGTAGCAACTTGTGGAAGCCATAATAGTCTTGGCTATGGTAAGAGTGGCTTGCTGGGTTTTAAATTCAAAGGGGTAATCATGGATGCTAGAGGATGGCTTTCAATAGCAAGCTACTTACTGAGGAGACAATAAATGAATCAAGACTGGATAATCCCAGAAGAGGGAGGACTAAAACTGAATGGCTGCTGTCTAGAGAATTTAGGAGTTAGGTCCATCAGGGATAGGTAGTCTGTTTAGAGACCAAACAGGTATAACATTATTAAGCTATTCTGGTCCATTCAGCCTTGGCAATTCAACAAGGGTAGAACTAATAGCATTGCTACAGCCTCAAAATAGCTTCTTCAAGGGGGTGGAGGGACTTGCTGGTGGAAGCTGATTGTCAAGTGACAAGTGGTCATTGACTGAAAGAGCTCAATGAGAGAAGCAAAATCTTCAGTGTCTAATCTGTATTTTTGATTCAGATGGAGTTGCAAATGAAAGAGCTGATTCACTAAAAAGAAATGGAGTTAATAGGGAAGTGTTATGGGATTTACCAGGGTCTGTAACTGATCTGTAACAGCAGGTGATTTTTCAGATTCTTTTTCTTAGCTTGTAACCGTATTACCCTTTGTATTGCCCTTCATTTCAAAGACCTTAGAATTCTGGGCTTACATTTTTCATTTTATAACATTAATAAAATGTGATTTCTGTCACTGATAAAAAAATGGTCAGGTTTTGAGCCATTCAACATCCACTATTGCATAAACTTTTAACATAACAAACTGATGGTGGGGCATGGGGGTAGCAGAACTATAAGCAATGGAAGAAGAGAAAAAATAGCAATATCTATATGATATCAAGAGAATTTCCTTTCAGGAAAAGTGTATATGTGCATCTATGTGCATGTGTATCTCAAAAGTTGGTAAATCCAATTTAATAAACAAGACATCTTATGAACTAAAATACAATTAAAATCAGCCAAAATCCAATAGTTTTGAACAATTCTCACACTCAAAGTAAACTGATGGACCAACAATTTCACCCATTAATTCTCAAATCCTAAACATAGCAAAGTAAACATAGAGAAGCATTACAGATTCCTAATTGTGATTTAGTGTTATGTAACTCTTATTCAGTGTTAATGGTGTTTTTTTCCATAATTGTAAACATCTTTTTTCCATTATGGTGTTTCTTCTTGACAGCCCGAGTTTCTCCTGAATGGGCTGATCAATCTTATTTAATAGGTACATCTTTATGGAACATCATTGGGAGGCTTCCTAGCTCAACTTTTTGCACAGTATCGTCCAAGACGTGTTCGATCATTGATACTCTCAAATTCATTTTTGGAGACACAGAGTTTCTCTGCTGCAATGCCGTGGTCCCCCGTGTATGTTTTTAGCAGTCATAGTTAATTAGATGACCAGATTGCTTAATCTTTATTGTCTTGAATATTTTGACCACATGGTTTCTTACATTTAGTTCTCATTGCAAGGGTATCTATTCAAAATTTAAGCACTCAAACCTTCTCCTTTTTTTAGATCAATTCTAACTTCAGAGATGCTTTTCTCAACACAGATAAATACATTTGATTGAGTCTATTAGGAATCATGCAGATCACTCTCATTATCTATTTTATATATTGGTTATCGACTAAGAATGCTTTTAAGTTGTATGTTTTACAAAACGTTTGGTGAGAATCCTTGTTTTGCTACCTATACCCATTGTTGGCTAACCTTTTCCAACTTTCCAAAGGAGAGATGGATATTCCATAAACATTGACATTTATAACAAGACGAATATTAGCATGTCCTATTGATATTCCGTAAAAAGGATGAATAGAAGGTGCAGGAAACTGACCTTATCAACTCTACTGTCAGTATGTCCTTAAATGATGAACTAAAATATCAGTAGGTCTAAATGATCCGCCGTCTGAATGATGTCCATCTGAAAGGGCTTTGATTTAATAAAGCCATTCATCTAGGCTTCCTTTTTCCATTCCACGATGGCAAGCAACTTCTTTCAAGTATGGGGGCTATACAGTTCACAGATCATTTTTTCTTTTCTCTCCCATACTAGACAAACTTAGGGGAGGGTGAGGGCGAGAATGAAGGTGAGATTTAATTCTAACTATATCCACTGACATTACCAGCAGAGCCAGCTTCCACCTTTGCTAGCTAGATTTTCCTTCCCATCAGGTATTTGGATGGCTTAAAAACCATTTGCTAGACTTGTACTGTACAAAATTAAATTGCAGATTTTCAATAATGCTCTGATAATAGGAGGATATGGGTTGTGATTCCTAAAGGAATATTCTTGGTTAAGTCTTGCTGTTTAAAGCTCATTTTTTTGGGGAGGTTTCCCATTCCCTTCAAGTCTGTTTCATCTCAAAAATCCCTGTGATGATTTCCTTTCTAATGTGGATTGTGTTCTTAGGCAAAAGCATTGGCTTTATTATTTCAAGATACAGGGTATTTGGAAGGTATTTGTTCAATGTCATTCATGTGAATGTCCAATTACTTATTTCTTAGTTCATTTCTCTTTTTCATCAAATCTTTCTTCTTTTTTTTTTTACTCAGTAGCAATCAAATAGCTTAATTAAATTACAGGGATATTTGGGACCATTGGTGTTCCAAGTATAAACGCTGCCACATCCCTCCCCCTTTCAACTAGTGCTATGCATCTTCATTTTTCTTAATATAAAAGATTTTTATTAAAAATAAAGAAAAATAAGATTTTTCTTCCTCTTCTTCCTCCTTTTTTCTCTCATCCCCCCTCTGCTTAAGGAGGCTTACGCCTCCTTGTGTTTGGGAGGCTTAACTATGCCTCACACTTCTAGGTAGTGGAACGCCTCGCGTCACGCCTCCGTGTTTTAAAACATTGCTCATAACATGTCTATATTTCCAAGAGTTCTACTTCTTATAAACCACCCCATAATTATCTGAGTCCCCTTCCACCAGTAAGTCTGTGAAATTTGAAGATTTAGCCAGTCTCACCATAGGTCAAAGTAACTGATAATAATTCTGCATAGAGCTGAATCGCCATGGTTTGTGGGTCTAGAAAATAAGGCTAGTATTCTTCCATCAGAATTCCTGAATATCTCCCTTACTCCTTAAGGCTCATGAGTTTCCCAAGCTGCATCCATCAAAATTTAACTTAATGGTATTAATGGCAAGGGGTTCCTAGATGCGAGATTCTTTCTCATGTAAGAGCATGCTACAGCCTGCTAATTTCTAATGATGTTATCATCAGTTGGAAAAGGGGGTGAACACTTTCAAGGGTTTCATCTGATGGCAATATTCTGAATGAGAATCTGTCCTTTCAAATGTATCTCCATTCACTAAATGTTGAAGTGAGTTAATGGACTAAGTGAATGTTTGAAGTAAAAGCTATCCAATTAAAAAGGTGATTGGAAATTTGAAGTTCAACAAATTTTGTAACAGGAGAAGCAAGCATTATCTATATTGCCTACCATGATGTATAGGATGTATCTTGTAAAAATGTCAGAGATGACTAAATATATAATCCGTTTGTATGAATTATCCATATTGACAGAGAGGAGACTTGTTAATTTTAGCTTACTTGCTAATCAGTATTAATACGTAGTTCACATCTCACTACCAAAATCTCTTAATCAACCCATTTCTTTTTTTTTTTTTTTATGCACTGCTTGTTTCCAAAAACTTGCTTGGTTAATCTGTCATCTGCCTTATTTGCAGTCTTAGCTGGACCCCTTCCTTTTTGCTGAAGAGATATGTCTTAACAGGAATTCGTGATGGTCCACATGAACCATTTATTGCAGATGCTGTAGACTTTGTTGTTTCCCAGGTAAAATCAACAAAATGTACAAATATGTCCTTCCAAGCAAATGTTCTTAGTAATTAAGTGTTTAATACGAAGCATATTGTACTTGGTCCATTTATTCTAAGTGTGTTGGGAAACCACAAAGGACATTGAAGTAGTAAGAAATGATTTAAGTGCTCATAAGTGGATATAGCATTAAACAGAAATGGCAAAACAGGATTCATGCAGCTGACCCTATTATAGTTGGGAAAAGGCTTTTGATGATGATGATGATGATGATATCTGTGTTGGGAAAGATATGGTTTGGTCTACCTTCTTGTGAATCTTCTTTAATTGAAAGCGAAGTTACATCATACAGGTGTGAGTGTTGGAATCTATGGGATGAAATATTGATTAAGCCAAAAATATTAGAAAGAAGATTCAGTGACTTGGAGTATATTTTTTAGTTTTTAATAACATATTCTTTATGTTGCAATAATTATTGGGAAAGAAAAAATTAAAGATAGAAGCATAAATTTATGAAAATGGCATTAAACCATTAAAATGGCACACAATTAATCATACTAACTTATCAAGTATGACAAATAAACATCGTGCCCAAATTTATTCATATGATTTCAAGGTTCTTAGTCACATATTATGGATTCGACAAAGAGAAGAGTCCCCTTCAACATTATGTTGATGTCAATGTGTACATGTATGACATGCTCACACACACAGCACCCATTTTGAAGTGTCCATGTAGCATAGAATGAAATAGAAGCTTGAGTTGTAGAGAGAGGTTTTGAATGTAAATCCATCATTTTTTTAATCACTATATACCTACATTTTCTTTCCTTTTTTGTGTGTTTCCACCACATTTGCAACTTTACAAAAGCTTTTTATTTTGCACTGTAACACAAGCAAAAACTGTTTATTAATGTTCTCTAGTGTTTTTCTTGTACCATGACAGGTAGAGACACTCTCAAGAGATGACCTGGCATCAAGATTAACTTTGACTGTGGAAACCACTTCAGTTGGACCTCTCTTGGTTTCAGATTCATTTATTACTATAATGGATGTATGAAACTCAAACTTATGGTGCCATGCTTTTGGTTTGCAAGTTTATACACAATGCTCCTGGGAAACAACCACTCCTCATAGTTCTTTATGCGCATTGACAGTTTCCAAACCAAAGCAAAAAGGGGGAAACCTGAAAGAAGTTTTATTATGGAACTACATGAACTAAACATAAGAGAAGATTCTGTAAGCTTTTCATGAACATAAAAATATCTACTTAAATATCTAAAAAGTTAATAAGAAAAGGTAAACATAGCCCAATCCCTCCCAAGCAATAAAAGGGTAGAGAAAAGGCTGATTAGTTTGTGGTCCCACTGGTTTATTTATTATTGATGTTATTTTTTTCTGCTAGCTTTTAGCTTTATCTTTTCTTTCTTTCATATTGGAGGTAGGGGTATTCCTGTCATTGTAACATCTTTTATTTGTTTAATATAAATAGCAATCTGTGGCGGTGGCAGCTCATTAGACTTCTGCACCCCTTCTCTCATTCTTTTGTCTTCTCTTCTTCTTCTTCTTCTTCTTCTTCTTCTTCTTCTTCTCTCTTGTTTCTCTGTTTTTATCTGCTGTTTTCTTATTAAAACAAATCAGATTATCTTTGGTTACTGTCAACTTGGTATCAGAGCCAAGTTTAAGATCGATTAGGGTTCTCATGTAGGCCTAATCCCGCCAGCCACATGAGGATTTTTTAGGGCTGGAGATTACAGCTTTACTCGCCCTTGGAGGCCATTGGAGACTACTGGAGGTGCCCAAGGTGTTTGAGATCTTGGAGATTTGCCCGGTGATCAGGAAGAGTCAGAAAAACAGTTCAGTTTGTATTCTTAAATCAGTGTTTGAAAGTGGCGCTCAGACTTCTCTGGGTAGGTTTCACCTTCTTGTTCAGACAGACACCTATTAGAAGTATTTTAGAATCCTCTGGAGAGAGCGGTTATCAGTTTTAGGTTTTCTCCAGGGCTGATTCTAGGGTTTCATCAGGAGAGTGATCAGCTATGGGCTGTAACCTTCTTTTCTCATCTGCTATTCCTCTGTCTTGGATTCCAGGAGAAGCTTGTGAGCTGTTTCTGGTGTGAAGATTACTGAACAGCTCTTGAAAGGACTGGTTTGTGAAAAAAAGGGTAAAATTGTGCAGTTTTTACTACTATGTGATTTCTTTGGGGTATACTCAGCATGGAAACAACTGGGAATGAATCTAAATCCTATGGAGAAGGACCTATGGTTGATGGAAGTGTTGTTGACAACAACTCTTTTCAGATTACAACTGTGAAATTTGAAGGAACAAATTATTTAGAGTGTGCTCAATTGGCCATGATGGCTATTGGAGGAAGAGGCAAATTGGGATATGTGACAGGAGACAAAAAAAAACCAGCAAAGGAGAATTCATCTCATGCTAAGTGGGTTCAAGAAAATTATCTTGTTATGACTTGGTTATGCAATTCCATGCAGCTCCATATTAGCAGGAACTATCTTTGGGCAAAGACAACTAAAGAAATTTGGGATAATATGAAAGAAACCTATTCTTAGCCCCTTAGTGTTAGAGCATATGAGCTGAAAAGTGAGGTGGACAACCTTAAACAGGGGGAGAAACCTGTATCTGTTTACTTCTCCACCCTAAAATCATTGTGGCATAAGATAGATCACTTGGAAACAATTGAGTGGGAGAGCCAAAAGGATACAACAACATATAGGAAGCTAGTTGTGAGACAAATAGGGTGTTTGAGTTCCTTGTTGGATTAAATTCAGATTATGATATTGTGAGACAACTTCTTACTAGAGATAGCATCACCTTATCTTAGGCTTACTCCATAGTACATAGTGAGGAGAGTAGAAGGAAGGTTATGCTATAGGTTCCACATATGGAATTAACTTTAGCTGCTATAAAGCCGAAAGTTGGAGGAGATAAGGAGAAGGAAATGAAAGAGGAGGAAAAGAGCGAAGTGTTTTGTGATTACTGTAAGAAACCAAAACACACCACGGATACTTGTTGTAAGTTTCGCCCTCAACTTATTCTAGCAAGGCTCAAGAATAAGAAAGGGAATGCCAACACAACTGTGACTACAGAGGCTCCATCCACATCTAGTAGAAGATCAAGTTCTCTTGATGCCTTGGTTGTAATTAGAGCCACCTTATTGTAGAGTGATGTTGGTATTACTAGACAGTCTCACCAATTATTATACCTCCTACTCCTTCATCAACTTTTGCACACTTAGGTACAATGGCTACTACCTATAGGGGTGAGCAAGAAAAACCAAAAAACCAAACCGAACCGATGAAATTGAACCAAAAATTCCAGTTAACTGAACCGGTTAGTTTCGGTTGGTATTTTTAGAAAACCAAAGGTACCGGTTCAGTTTCGGTTAACCCATATGGAAAAGCTGCGGTTAACCAAACTGACCGGTATACATATATTTCTATATATTTTATGTATATTTATGCATATTATATATTTTATATTTTTTTATATATTATAAATTAATAAATGTACATTATATATTTGGGCTGAATGGGCCTTAGCGTTCTTTATTTCTTTTAAGTAGTATTTAAAAGTTATGTTTTGTAGTTGTGGGCCTTCTTTTATTTTCTTTAATTATTTCTTTAGTGCTGGCTGCCCCATTAAGGGCATCCAAGTAATTGTATTCCGACTTAGATTTATTAATAAAAGTGATGAAAGGGGGCTAGAGAGAGAGGTTCGAATTCTTTTTCTCTCTTCCCTTCTTTTCTTCTTCCATAACCTGTTGAGGCCCTAGTCCATGTGGTAGCTTAGGCCCATACCACTAGCCAGCTCGGGGGCCAGCCCATGTTGCTGACTAAAGCCCACGAGAAGCACAACCCAATGAAGGGAGCCAAAATTTCGCCCATTCGTTTCATGTACACAAGGAAGACACATTAGCCGTGCACATGTCTCATGATATCCTTGTAATCCTTATAAATAGTTGTGAGTAAAGGAGTAAGTTTGACCTGGCTTATTTCATTTTTCTTCTTCTTCTTCTTCTTCTTCTTCTTCTTCTCTTCATAGGAGGTTAGGTCTCCCTCGAAGAGACCTCTTTGGTGGGTAGTATCCCATCAAATTGGTATCGGAGCAGCTGACGGAAGCAAGATGATGAGCACGAGATCCTCAGCGATAGAGGATCGAGTTGACAAGATCGAAGAAGAGCTTCACAAGGTGTTCGGGGAGCTGAAGGAGTTGAAGGATTCCAATTCAGTGGTGTCTAGAGAGTTTCAAAGGTCGTCTCATTCCAACATGCGCGAAGGGGATAACGAAGGCTCCAGCCACTCCGGCCACTCGCACGCAGGTTCCGGATTCGGAAGGATGGCCAAGTTGGTGTTTCCCACGTTCTCAGGTGAGGATCCTATTTCCTGGATATTTAAAGCAAAAAGATTCTTTGAGATAAATGAAATCCCGGGGATCAGCATGTGCCGATGGCTCTGATCCATTTGGAAGGGGAAGCCATCCGATGGCTTCAGTGGTATCGATGTTCAAACGCTCAGATTGGGTGGACGGAATTTAAAGAGGCCATCTGTCACCGTTTTGGACCATCAGGGTTTGAGAACTTTGACGAAGCTCTATCGAGACTGAAACAAATGGGGACGGTGAGGGAGTATCAGAACGAATTTGAGAGGTTGGCTTCTCGGGTTTATGGGTGGCTTGAATCGGCATTGGTGCGAGCCTTCTTAGGGGGTTTAAGGGATGAAATCCGATATGAAGTAAATGTTAGACAGTGTATGCCCTTAGCTCCAATCAGATTGATGTACAGATACATGTGGGCTTATTTGAGGTCATTGTTGGGGTCCCATGCCATACAAATTGAACCTAAATGGGCCAGCAACTATCTTGGGACGTGAGCCACTTGCTTAATGGGCCTAAGGCCCATGATTAATGGGATTAATCAAGATGTCACATGATAACTTAAGCAGTCATGTGACATGGGCGAATATGGGTTTGGAGCACCCATTCTCATAAGAAGATAAGACCTATCCACTAATAGAGTCCAGATCCAAATAAAGATTTGAATTACAAACCTCCTAATTCGATTAGGAGAGGTGTTCCTTAAGAATTAAGAGAAGAGGAGATCGAATTGCTCCAGACAACTCTGCTTTCAGTTCTCTCTCTCTTTGCTCTTGCCGCCCAGAAACCCTAGTTCGACCTCCAGTTTCTTGGACTGATTTTGATCAGTTCTACCTTTGATTTTTGCAAGAAAATTTCAGAGAAATTTTGTGCTCACCTCCCTTGTTCGATCCATACAGTTCGTTGCAGTTTTGCTGAAAACTGCGTTGCTGAACCGGCTTCATTCCAAGCTGCACCATCTTCAGTGGAAGCTAGTTTTGGGATTCAATTTGGGTGTGAACTACCTCTTTGGGAGCTACATATGTGGAATCTGTATCAGGTATGCATCTCACTCCTTTTGATTTCAAATCTGATCCGGTTTCGGTGCAAGGATGATCCTAGAGAAATGCAGTTTTTCTGAAACTAGGGAATACGATTCCCGGAAGGCTGAAAAAAATTTTTGAAAATTCGCCCAACCATAGCATGGTTCGGCCATCCATATGATGGATCTCACCTTCCGTCAGTAAAGGCCCTGCAACTGGTCACCGTAAATGCGGTGGCTCACTTAGCCCGCCTGCATGAAAAAAGACTGAACAAGCTTAGATGGGTAACTAAACCAGCCCCGGCTGGACCAATTTTCTAGACTCCCCCAAGCAAAACTGATCTGGGTCCGTCCAGACTGGTCGGACCGAATGGTTTACCTCTTAGGCGAATTTCCTGGGTGGAGATGTAGTTACGTTGCGAGCGTGGACTTTGCTATAATTGCGATGAAAAATTCGGATCTGGGCACCATTGCAAGAAACCCCAACTTTTCCTATTGGAGCCAGAGGATCCTGAGGAGGAGGGTCTCGTCGTTGAAGACGGGACCTCGGAAGTTAACGAGGAATCTACAGAGCAAGGGCCGGAGATCTCCCTCCATGCCTTGACTGGCTCTTCCTCGCCTCAAACCATGAAGCTTAGAG